GGCCTCAATACTTCTGATTACCAACTATTAAAAGAATCGTTGTTAACTAGCGTTAGATCTCACAATATATATATATATATACTTATATATATTTATATATATTAATACATATATGTATATATATATATGTATGTATGTGTGTGTGTGTGTATGTATTTATGTATGTATAGGGATATATATATATATATATATATATATGTGTGTGTGTGTGTATGTATGTATTTATGTATTTATATGGATATATATATATATGTGGGTGTGTGTTTGTTTGTGGGTGCGTTTTGCTTGCATTTATGTACATATATAAATAGTGTAGGACATGTGATTTCATTTATTACTGCATTCATCTACGAACTGTAATCTATACCCTGCTTTGCACCTTAACTGACCTTACTACTTTTGACATGAACCCACATCTGACATATATTAAAGGGTCTCAATCTGATTTTCTGGTATCTACTTCCGGAGAATAGTACTGGTTTTGTGAAAGTCATTGACTGTGTGACGTACAAAGTTGCTTAAACATTTATCATTAAAATAGCAATGTATTTCCGGACACAGTTATGACTTTTTCTTGCTGGTAATGACCTGGCCGGAAACGTTCTGCGAGGAAAGAACCAGCTGCAAGATCCCCACCAAAGTGAAGGGCTTCTCCTTGCATGGGTATATCATGAAGCATCTACGCAAACCAACGTAGAATATTGTATTTGAATGTTTTAATAACACATGAAGTGCGTAAATTTGTTTCTGGTGCTGTAGTGTATATAGTGTGTTTGCAAGCGATGATGTCTCCAGCAAACTGTGGCAATGTTCAGAATTTTTGTGCCTGTACAACCATTGGGAGTATTAAGCACTTCATTTATAGCACACTGTGCTTTGACTGCAAAATTCTCGTCTGGGAATTTGCACAGACACAATATATGCTTTTTCAAGGTTGGTGTTTTTTCGTTGAACGCATATTTCGTGTAGCTATTTTAGTGTTGAGTGTAGGTACATCATTTCATTTAGTTGTTTGGTACATCGATAGATTTTCGGTACACATGCATAATTATCAAATACTTTTCAATCCAAGTTTATAGTCGTACGCACTAGACTATGTCAGCTATCCCTTGTTTTCGTTTTGCTGCTACGGCTCGATTGTATACAAAACGTATTATCATCGATGAACGAGTGTGTAATCTTCATTCTCGCTATCACTTGCAGGTTATGGCCAGAAAGAGAGGATGGTCATTGGCCTCAGGTACAGTCGTGAAAACTGTCAATAAGACTGTTTTTCTTGTGGTATACGCCTGTAACTACCATATATATGCGTGCACATTTGCAGGAGTGTGTGTTTGTGTGTGTATATGTATATAAGCTTCTCGTATGGATAGGGGATGTATGTCGAATTACGCAGTCAGTGTTCCTTATGTTAACCCGAAGGTGGTGTGAATAGTGCCTACCTGTGCAGCATTCTGGCGAGGCGTGCTTATTGTGCTAAATAAAATTTATATTATATATGCGTATCTGCACTATGTACTTTGTACTGAATGCAATGCATTCAAAACACATTTGAGCTATATACTTATATATCTATAAACCAATATATATATATATATATATATATATTATATTATATATTATAACTGTATATATATATATATATATACATTTGAGCTATATTATATATATATACTATAAAACAATATATATATATATATATATATATATATATATTAATGATTTGGGCGCATGCAGCATGGAAGTGATTGCGTCATCAGTCATAAACTCGTCGTCAAATCAGCTACAACACTCGTGATCTTCGCCAAAAAGTCAAGCCATGGATGGATAGCGAATTATTTTGTGATTTGAACACAGCACCGTAACTCTTTAGTGGATATACAATTCTTTTAAATCAATGTATGTCTCTTGTGCAAAATTGTAATCATAGCTCCCAGCCGAATTTCTCAGTACTCTGTCTCGTGGCGTTGCATATGCAGCTGTGATCCTTTCTATTCACTATTTTGGCTTTATGTAAGACTATTTGGCTTATTTTGCCTATCTTCATATTTTTGTCATGATTCAAAATTCAAGAATGGTTTCCGCTCAGGTCGGTCTCAGTACCGTCCAACTCTCAGAAACTAAACAATCTCTAATATTTCACTCGTATAATTTCTTCCAGTATTGCCCAGGTCCCAAATTCAGCAAACTATCGCTCCTGACGTTGTTACCGCGTCTCCTGCGATTTTGGGCCAATATGCTGCCGGTATGTAAGCGTACAGCTATCCGTTTTCTCTGTTATTTGTATTTTATACTGGCAGTTAGAAGTACATGAGATTAGTTGTTGGTTGACTGAGGCTTTTATGGTGTGCATCTAGGCCCTAGCGCGAAGCTCACAATCTCGCCCGTCCACACACGTACAAGAGGCGATTTCGACTATTGTTGCAACCCTAGAAGTATACTACGTGCGCGAGAATATACATCCACAGAGTGGGAGATCCAGGCATATGCACAGCTTCACACGCCAGAGTACAAATGCGATGCCAGCATGGACGCGCAACTGCCGGACACAAGCATGTGCGTTCATTTGTACACACGTGTGCCCGCGCATATCCACCTCCACATGAGTATCCGCACATACCAGCCCGCGGGCGTAGAAGTATCGCACGCATGCACACCAACACGATGATACTTAACCTCAGCATCCGCATTGGCAACACATCTACTCTCTAGCGGACACCCATGTTTTCTTTCTGGCAGCACGAATGGAGCCGTCACGGAGTGTGTGCGATTCGAAATAATCCCAAGTTGACCTCACAGCGACAATACTTCAAGGCGGCGATGGATTTGTTCCGCAAGTACGAGCCTCTCAAGGTATGCTGTCCAGGTGTTGGCTTGACTGGTGTGTAGTTGGCTGTGTGGATTTATGGTTCTATTGTGACAGCGTTGACGTGGAAAAACTGCTTTGCTGTTGAATAATGTACGACCCCCAAACTTTGCAATCGTAATTATTCACATCGTCGAGTGCAAGGAAGTATACCTACGTTTACGCATAGCAAGAGCGATAGCAATAGTCATACCTTCGTGTCAATAGATCTATACCGAGATATCTGCTTTTCAAAGATTTGTTAAATACTGTAGAATTTTCCAACACAATGGATATTACATAGAGCGAATGTAAATTATATGTGCTGTGTTTGTGCTTGGTTATATTAGTAAACTGTTCCATGTATCACTGTGGATACTCATTGCGCTAGCGGTTGACGTGACTCAACTATTCATGCAGCAAGAACAGATACGGATTTCTCAAAGTGTTGTAGAATTTTTTTTTGCTCGACTGTGTTCGAACGGTCGTGACAGTGGTGGCTCGAATCAATCAGCTAATTTTTAAGATTTTAGTCGAATGAAAACTCAAGAAATGATGCAGAATTAAATTTATGTGCCTCTACCTGAGTGTCATGCGGTAGTATTTCCTCCAGAGCACATAGCCTTTCCTCTCTCTCAACAAACTCAGACAGGTTAAAAAATAAACAGCCCATAGCTACGGCCTTTGTGTTACAAATTGGAGGGGGATGTACGTTAGCTGTGATTTGCTACGCAATGACCGGGTCGGTATTTCGCCCATCTATATGATAGACTATACATCTTATGCATAGCGCCAATCATGCTTGTGTGTTGTATATGTAAATATACTATTCACTTTGGTATATTGAATGCACACAGTCGAAAACACACATGTGCAACGTATGAATGTCTTGGACATACATCTGCATCTATCTCTACATTGCGAAACCGTAAACATGTATTGCACGAATTCGCAAATATGGCAGGTGTGGAAGACACACAACATCGACGTCCCCAGTAACTCGAAGACATTCAACATGGACTCTCTCATTGGTGCCTACAAAGATTCCTTCGGTGTTACGCCCGTGATCGCGTGTGGTCGCCAATCACAGTAAGTTATACACCTGTGATTGGGTCATGTATAGTTATGCTGAAAACATTGATATCATAATCATGTGCATGCGTTATAGCTTGTTAAATTTGCATGAATGTTTACTTGCGTACACGTGTGTGATTCGATTTCAAAAGAATTGGAATATAAGCGGGTCACAGATCGTCTAGTTGACGCAAAATATGTAGATTTATGTGAATTGATGATAGCCTACCCAGATTTTGAGCTGACCTGTAAATTCATTGGCAATGGCTTATTTAAATATTACTGGTGTGCTATAAAATTGCTAACTCTCCCAAACATGAAAGATAGAATGAATTGTTTTTTCTATATCAGTTGTGTATCGATCGACACTGGATCGTTTGAGTCTCATTGTGTATCAACTTTAAACCCCGATTTGATATTTTCACTACATTTTTTCTGAATTTCTGCTTCAATCACACAGACTACAGTACTGTGTCGAGTTCAGTACAACATTGGTTCATTCACGCCGCGTACTAGCAACGATCAAAATCACTTCTACGTATTTTCTGTTAAAACTGTTATTGAATTATTCTTCTCACTATGATGTTGCTCAGGAGGGACACGAGATGGGGCAAGTCACAGTCTGCATCAGCAAGGATCGTATTCAATCAAATTTTGACCTTATCGCAATCAGATTTCTTATATTCATGTTAATCGTATTCCTGTGTAGAGATCGACAACATATTGGACAAGTCACAGTCTGCATCAACAAAGATCTGACTATCCGCGAGTGTCCCGAAGCCATACAACGCCGCTCATGTCCACAGCATTCGGCTGTGAAGCTGCCAATTCTCAACTACAAGTAGCGTAGCAATTGAGAATGGAGAGATACGTATGTGGAAGCTTCAAATTCTTAACATGTAGAGAATAACCCGAGAATGTGGAAGATTCTAGCTTTATACTACAAATAGGGCCAAAATCTGCAGGAACGTGGAAACCGAGGCAATGGGTAGGGTAGATGTAATGCGCAGTTGCCAATCTTAGACTATGATTGACGGGGCAATGTCCAGTTGTGTCGACAACCTTTGGGGAAAAGGGAAGGGGGGATGATTTATTTCGAGTTGGAGCTATTAGTTATAGTTCAGGATTTAGAATAAATTTTTATAGATAGGAAAAAATATTGGTGATACCAGCCTATTCACATTAAGATTACGGATAACTCAGCTAGATTAATGTGACATGTACTGCCAAGGGATGATTTCGTGCGTTGCGCTTGGTCAAGTACTACTCGTGAAGTTTATGAGAGCTTTGGCGGGTCTTTGGTCACAAGTGTTGCGAGCGAGCTTTTTAATTCATGTGGTTAGTTTATTATCGAACTTCTTGGGGACACAGCAGTGGGGGCAGTGTAATGGCTAATAAGAAAACTAATATAATGTTAAGCAATAATTTCGCTGTTAGAATAAAATCAAGTTTCTAAATAAATAAATACACTGACTAAAAATAAATAAATTTGTCGTCTAATATCTGTCAATCGCAAGTGGGTCAAAAGTTACAAAACCGAATCCTGAATTCGTGACTAGCTATGTATGGAAAGTTCTCACCGAATCCTCCCATTCATGCCCGGGGACTAGGTAAACGGGGTTGCAAATGGATCGTGAAGTTGAAGCTGAGAACACAGTCAGGTGACTATTAGCTGATTTAACATAGGCAACACAAATTAGAATCTATATACATAGCGACTAGGACAGTGAAAGCACTCCAAGCATAAGCCGTAGGCAAGCTCGAGTGGCGATCATCCGGGTGAGTGCTGGACCAGGGATAGCTAGAGGCGCTGCTGCTGCTCGATTGGCACAGTCGTCCAGTCTGGGAGGCTTGAGATCGATCGGGACAAGCTTTGAATATGACCAAGCTCCACAAGAATAAAGAAACCGTCTTCTATCTAGGTATTATCGGTATAGGTGAGATGTGATGTATGCGCAGCTCGCTCCAAATGGATAGCTTCTTCATTTCACAATGTAGCCTGCGCAAGCACTGGGGTGAACAACAACTGGCGGACAGCGACATTCAAATGAAGTTCCTGGTCTCCCTCGTTCACTCGGTATTTACTATGTATAAAGTGCTCGCCATTGGATGGAAGACAAGCCGCTCACGAAATCGAACCGCGACAGGATATCTATCGCCAGTGAGGTTCTAATCCAGACAGTGTTTACATTCATATCATAAGGGGCAGTAAAGCTTACAAACTTCTGGGATATAAAGGTAGTATCGTTTCCAGCCATATAGATATATGGCTGCTCGAATAAATGTACACAGACTGGAGAAAAGTAAGTCCAAGCTGGTAGTGATAGCCTTTCATTACTTGATTAGAACCGTGAACGTTTTCCTGTTTATGCCCAAATCAAAACCTTGTACCTATGCGGCAGGTCCAGACATCTACAAGTCCATGAATTCTTGGATGATCAGACCGCTCACCCTACGAGACTGTCGAGAGGAACCGGATTCCATAGCACTATACGAGGATCGAAGATGGTAGACTTGTCATGAATGCCTGGTCATACGAGCAAAAGCGCAAGTGTCATTCCAGCTTAATAGGGAATCAAACTTTCGCCAGCAACTCTGTCCGTGCCTGTATGTGAATAGAAACCGCATGTACTGCGCTACATACAATGATAACTACCAACCACAAGAGGGGCACCATCTTGGGTCAGGTAAAATGAAGTACTCTTCAGCCTCGTTAAAATTGTATATTTATTTTATTACGAAAGACACTGTCGACTTGCAATGCTCAGTGGAGACAGGGTCAAGACCGAGCTGTGGCGCTGGGGAGGGGCAATATATTCCTTTGACGGACATTCAAGGCTTAAACCGAAAGTGTCACATAGCTATCGGCATCTGCTTTGTCAAGCACCGGCTGCTCTAAGGTGTGGAAATGATGGAAGCTGCAGTAGGCTGCGTTGATAACGATGAATGCTGTGTGACACATACTGCCATTTTTCTAAATAAATAGTGCTTCAACTGAGACCAACAATGCGATAAATTTCGCGACAATGTATTTTGGAGTGGGTCCCTACGCAAGAGAGAGTCAATTATTCATGTCTATAATGCAAGAGTATTCTCTTTAATAGTGGAGCGAAAACTTTGGGTTTTGGGAGTAAAAAATTTGGTTGCTGGTATCCACAGGCACAGCAGCATGATATCGACACCATGACTTTCGCGAGCACACGCACGAATACTCCTCAGGAAGGGTGCACCATAGGCTACAGCATTCTCGTCTGCAAATAGGAAAGGCGTTCTTCGCGGTACAGGAATAAAAACACATAAAATTATCCGGCGGTAAGAGCTATTTAGTTGGGGGTTAAATTTAAACCTTCTTAAGTAGCTTTTAGTCACCTTCGTATCAGTAGTCTCAAGATGCGACTCGCTTGTCCCTCAACCTCGAGTTCCCACGATACAACCCTCTAAACGCTAACAAGAGTACTTACCAGCGCTACCTAAAGGATCGCCAAAGATTAAGTGTTGCGAAGGATGATGATCTGTGTAAATTGTCCACAAGTGATGGAAAAATCTAAGATATAGTTTACATTTTTCTGAAACTGTTTCACCAGCCGAGTCGCCCCTTTTTAACGAGGTGATAATCAGCTGAGTAAATTGAAAAAAAGGTACACTATATGCTATAATTTGCTATCATGTAAACAAATATAACGCGAATCTGTCGTCACGAAGGACATGTATACCCCCACCAACACTTATGTGCCCACATGCATCTGTGAACTGACAAAGCAATTTCTCCACGCTTGTGAAATTGTATGTTGATCTGTGACAAGACCTAGGCCTGGACCGAGGGCCTACAAAATCATTGCTTCATCGTTGAAGAGATTGGGTGTTGGCGCTAAGATGTGAACATATTAGTCAGACCAAATTGCTTCTAAAAATAGTTTTCATGTCACTATTACTTGGTACGATCATTTGTGTCAGGGGTGTCAACTGTAAGCAAGACGCGAGTTTGTCACTAGTTACGAATGCACATTACATTAAATGGTCATTGTACAAGCTTCATAGTCCAGTTGCAATATCCGATGTGCGCGCGTGCAACGAAGATCAAACTTGACTGTCTATCTCAGAAAATGTATGAGTGTCAGAGGCACCACAGAATATTTTATATTCTATAATACACATCAATAAATATAGAATAAAATCAATTGATAATCAGCAGAGTATGGGGGGAAACGGAACACTATATGTCATAATTGGCTACCAAGAAAACGAATAGAACCCGAATTTGCCGTCATGAAGGACATGTATATCCCCACCAAGACTTGTGTGTCCATATTCATCTGTGAACTGACAAAGCGATTCCTGCACGCTTTAAAATGATGTGTTGATCACTGACAAGACTAGGACTCGGGCCCTACAAAACCATTGCTTTATTGTTGAAGTGATTGGGTATTGGCGCTAAGGTGTGAGCACATTAGTCAGGACAAATTGCTTCTAGAAATCGTTTTCATGGCATTGCACCTGTGATGAAATTAAACAATCATTTCTAATGACCACTTCTTCGATCTCTCCCCAGCCATTACAACAGCTATGAGAGCCATCCCATAAGGATATACATTTTAACTTATCTCCTTTGAAATAAATAATATTATCCCTACTACTTGGTACGGTCATTTGTGTCATTTGTGCAACTGTAAGCAGCGACGCGATTTTGTCAATAGTTATGAACACACATATCGTTAAATGACCTATGTATATGCTGCATAGTCTCTTTGCAATATCCGATGTGCGCGCGTGCAACAGAGATTAAACTTGGCTGTCTATCTCAGAAAATTTGTGCAGTGTCAGAGGCAACACATAATGTTCCATATTCTATAATATACATCAATAAATATAGAATAAAATCAATTGATAACCAGGAGTATGGGGGAAAAGGAACACTATGCCATAATTGGCTCTCAAGAAAGCGAATAGAAAGCGAAACTGCCGTCACGAGGGACATGTATATCCCCACTAAGACTTATGTGTCCACATGCATTTGTGAACTGACAAAGCGGTTCCTGCACGTTTGCAAAATGGTGTGTGATCTATGAGAAGACTAGGCCTGGACCGGGGGCGTACAAAATCATTGCTTTATTGTTGAAGAGATTGGGCATTGGCGCTTAAGATGTGAGCATATTAGTCAGACCAAATTGCTTCTAAAAATAGTTTCCATGTCACTATTACTTGGTACGATCATTTGTGTCAGGGGCTATGAATACACATATCGTTAAATGACCTATGTATAAGCTGCATAGTTCAACTGCAGCATTCGATGTGCGCACGTGAAACGGAGATTAAACTTGGCTGCCTATCTCAGGAAAATTGTGCACTGTCAGAGACAAGAATGTTCTATATTGTATAATATACATCAATAAATATAGAATAAAATCAATTGATCCTTCGCTTGGCTTCACCGAATAGGGTGGACAGGTAACCAGAGGGCGAAGTAGCAGGCCTCTGAATGTAGAAATGAATGCAGCCAGACGATCGCAAATAATTGCTGTCGACAACCTGTTATCAACTGCTGCACCATCCGAGATAACAAATACCACGTTTTGATTGAGGTCGGGGGACCTCGGAGTCCAATTACGAGTCGCAATATAGTTCAGCAATATTATATATGGTCTACACTGACGTCGGGTGCACCTTGTCGATGGAGACAGCCGGAATCGTGGTAGATGGTTTATATTGTATGCAAACTACTATCAAGTGTTGTAATGTAAATCAAAACAAATCGACAATATTCATTTAGATTTTGCTGCCCGTCGACTGTTTAACTGATGGAATATTAGGTTGCCTCTGATTGAGAGCCTTTGTATTATTCTTTCTACAATAAATTTTTGCCTGTTCTTTATTGAGATTTTAGCTAGGTGTGATATGCTCGCCTGAGTACACTAATGGATGTAGTTAGATATTTCGTACTGAAGAAAGGAAAACAAAGAACCTGTTGCATTATTAGGAATTGGCTGCATTCAAACTAAAAAACCTCGTTATTTGACATTTCAGATTGAGGTTGAAGACATCACCCCTATAGTTGTTATTGTGTGTGAGTTATCGATAGCCTTGTTGCAGGTTAAAGGTTTACTTTTTCCTGAAATTAAAGTATCTAGGCGAGATATGACCGAGACCTGCCTGTGCGTTTGAATTGTAGATCGCAAGAACTCCTTCATTTTTATTATATGCATTTCGAATATTTGTTTGTCATCTCTGGTATTCTTTCATCTACTTTCAGTGCACAAATGCGAATTTGCCAGAAACTGTTTCAAATCTAAGAATGTCTTTACAGCAGTCCGTACAAGTAAATCAAAATCATTTAATATGTGATGGCCGAAAATAGCATACATGGTGCAAACTTATCCGAGCCGTATTTTCTATTTTAGGGAGCGGTTGGTATACCTACTCACTGTCATCTCAAAGGTAGAGCAAGGCATGAAACGCATATCACCGCCCGTCTTGATGTAGTATTAATTTTACTAAATACTGACACCTGATTACGAATGATTATTCCACATGTCGTCCATTGTCCGGGAATCTTGAAGCTAAACGTTTTCAATCGCATGCATTTTTCTAAAAGAAGCAATCTTTACCCATTTGCCTCAATTTGTTCCAATTAAGACGTTCTCATTCAGATTTTCATTGGCCAAAAATTACTTGTTTCTAGTCTGACTATTATAGAAACTATATAAAGTTCGAATTCGACCAATACATACGAGTCATACTAAACCTATAGGCTGCGCTCGTCTAGGGATAATATTGTTTATTTCAATTGGATGTATATGTATATGTGCATCAGACTTCATATTCGCTGGAGAGGTTTTGGGAAGATTGAAGGGAAGTTAGAATTATCGAACTTACGCGAGAAACTCACTCGGGGCCAGTGATGCAATATTCAATTTCTCATGGACTCGTAAGACTACGGTTGTTAAGTGTCCCGTTAAGACTACGGCTGTTAAGCGTCCCGTAAAGACTACCTCTGGTAAGTGTCCCGCTCTCGCCTCCCTCCAATTTAGCGTCCCTCTCTCGCCCCCTCCAAGTTAAGCGCCCCTCTCTCGTACGTTTCTTACTATAAATAGGTAGTATGTTATTATTGATCCGTTAGAAAGAGCGGGAAACATGTAGGTAATAAATATATAAATAAATTAACGTGTATATAGACGAGCGTAACATAATGGTCACAAAATATTTAAATACTATTCTTTTTCGAGCATCGTATATCGCATACGTAACTGATAACTGAGGTATGTTGTGAAATAAGCTGTATTTGTGTCAGTAAACTTTCTGATGTTTGTTATCGAATAATGCTAAATTTATGAAATTGATCTGGTTACATACAGCAAACTTTACGGGGCGAGAGAGAAGAGAGAGCATCAATGGAGCCGTCACTGGTAACGTCAAATGCAAATAAATAAATATTTTATTGCATGCTGGTACGTCTGCTTTCCGACCTGACTGATTCTCTATCATTAATCGTATCAGAAATACTAATGCTATTATATCAATGCAGTTCAAAGCGAAGAAGAAATGAAAGCATGCATTGATGCATGCTTGCTGTGTACGTATGCATACATACATTGTGTACACGCTCGATGCATTCACACGTCCTTTCCGACCTAACCGATTCTTTATCATTAATTATATCAGAAATATTAATGCTATTATATCAATGCAGTTCAAGGCGAAGAAGAAATGAATACATGCATTGATACATGCTCGCTTCTATATTTTGTTAAAATATTTACTTACAATGCGTCATGTCCTGCTTATTGTTTAAACTACAGCATGCTGCGTGGAGGAAATTTTCTTTCAATCCGGGCATCGCCTTTATGGGGCCAGTGAATACTATGAATACGATAAATGTTGTTTACTGCGGGCGGAGACTTCGACACGGACTAATGACTATCCTCTGATATTTCCTCACCAGGTGCAAATGCGCTTGACCTCTTAATATAAGACGGCAATGTCTTAACATCGTCAAAGAGTTGTTTGCTCATCTTGTATCTTAAGGTGTGTTTGATAGCGTTCTGAATATAAATGCATGCAAAAATAAGCTCATATTTAGCGTGTGACAGGTTATTTAACGTAAGTATATAATATATGGTGTGTCATAAAACTGTAACTGACAAAAAATTCCTGATATAACTTACGACTCGGATG